ATATTAACATCAGTGAATCAAGACGTTCTTGTAACATAGTGTTTCTAAGTTTAGACTTTACAATAGACAATTTAGAAAAATTCCTCTCACACGAGCAGCTTGTTACAGGTATTGTTGCAAATTGTGTTAAAGCTTTATTGAAGTTTGAAAATATTGTTTTCCGGTCGTTTTCTGATAACCAATTCAGCCATACTACAATTGTTTTAGTTGATAACCCTCTAATAGAAGTTCTATCAGACATATTTGTAATGAGTTTAATTTCAGACTCAAATGTAGTATTCAAATTAAATTTTTCCTTCAATATTGAAATATCATTACTCTCAAGCTTTAATTGATTTAAATTTCCTGTGGCGGTAATTAAATTTAAAGTTTCTTAACTTAATAATAAATATGGGCCCCTCCAGTGGCGTAGCCAGGATTTTTAAATGGGGGGGGCTAACTACTTTTTTGGATAAGTAAGGTAAGAGAGGATATGAGAATTCATCCTTAGCCCCCCCTCACCATCTACCACCAAGTTTCTAAACGTAATTCAAGCATTTTAGTATAGTTTTAAAAATATTTATTAATATATAATTTATAATAATAATAATAATAATAATTTTAGTTTCAGTGTTCAGTCACTTGCTCCACTCTGACAGCTGCATCTTCTTAGGCGAATTTCTGGCAAATTCAGTTATTATTTCACTTTCATCGAATTGCTCTTTTTTATTTATATTAGCCATAGCTAACCCATTCAGTCTGTTTTCCGACATGGTGCTTCTTAACAAATTTTTTAAGCGATTAAGTGCTGAAAACGTTCTTTCCGGAGTGAAAGAGGTAACTGGTAACGTGGCGAATAATTGTAAAAGAATTTTAATGTTAGATCGAAGATTGATGTGATGAGAGAGTGAATCAAGAGCAGAATTCGGTTTTGGAATAGTATTTTGACCCCATTGTTGCCGCCATATGAATAGGTTAGCTCTGATTGTAGATGAGGTGTCATCATGGAGATCTTGGACATATATTTTAGCAGTTTTTATAATATTTTTATCGTCATACATATTTAAATTGGCCGGAATAAGGCCTTCAAGTGGCATAACATCAATAAGCCTTTGATTAAAACGAGCATCCATTGATTCTATTAAATAGTCAAGATACATTATACATATAAACACGGCCCATGTGGGGGGGCTATAGCCCCCTTAGCCCCCCCTTGGCTACGCCACTGGGCCCCTCATATGAAGCCGCAGACTATGCAGCGGCATACCATGCATACCCCGTGCGCACGCCTATGCTTAAATTAAATAAAACCTATCCACACTTAATCATGGTAAATGATCGTCTGAGTGAATTGTTGGTTATAACTGTTGAAAGTGATATTGCTGCAAAAATCAGTTTAGATGATGCAGTAGATGTATTTTTTAAAAATGAAAAATAGAAGATATCGGCTTACAGCTTAGATTAATTTAAAAATAAGTTAGATTAAGTTAGATTAAGATAACCTTGTTTAAGTAATGTTTATAAAATACAAAATTATATTTTGCAGAAATTTAAGTTGAATAATAATATAATGTATAAAATATGTGCCTTAAGTATAAAATAAAACGTGTGAGCGAAACTTCATATTTCTCCCTGTAGTATGGACCGGTTAAAAATGTTGTCCCCTCCTATCAAAAACTGAAATTACGCCACTGGATCTAACTGCCTCTTCTCTCGACGAACTGAGAGGAGTCAATCGCGGTGGCGATAAAAATGAAAACGGCAATGAAGCAATATAGGAACGTAGCATAGGCGTAACTAGGGGGGGGGCAAGAAGGTTTTTAGCACTCCTTTTTTTTCAGATCTATAATTATATATATAATCTATAGTAATTACGGTTAAATACCATTTAATTTTATTTTCAGAAATTTTAGCAGTCCTTATATTTGGGCTCTAGTTGCGCCTATGGAACGGAATCAAGTTATTTCGCACAGGTGAACAGGAAATAGAGTTTAGTTATCGGGGGAGTGGTCTCTGTGGTTGAATTGATTTGGTGCAATGACCACAGAGTTCGCATACAAATCGGAATATTTATGCTCAACACTCGGGTCACAACTTACGAACTAACTTATAACACCGATGACTGGACGGGACAATGGTAACGATTGTGTTTGACTTCTGGGTGACCTGGATAGTCTCACAAACACACTCCGAGTGCTGGCGGATTATTGCGACGTTGAACATGAAAAAAAGGAACCAGCAGAGACAAACAATTGACACAGGATACAACGACGGTGGAGATCATTGGACAATATAGTGACGAAAAACGGGCAACATTGACAACAACTAGTTGGACGACACTGTATGGGGTAAAACGACACAACGCAAAAGCTAACAGTTACGAACTCACGATCCGCAATGTATGAACGGAGTGAAACAAAAAAAAAAAACCGGCAACACGTGTTTTGCTGGTACAAAATAAAAATATATTTATTGTATAATATTAATTAGAATATCAATAATGGTGAGTCTACTATAATCGACAGCTGCAATGGCAACTAATAAAAACAAATCACATTTAAGTGGGGATCTCCGCCCTCTTCTATCCATCAACATAACACTTAATAATAAATTAAATTTATTATAATGCATTAACATAAAATCATTTTAATGTTTATACTTATTTATTTTTTTAACATAAGAAACCACATTTATAAAACAAATTCCAATTTTCTAGGACTTAATGCCAATTCATATATGATTTTTTCAACATCTAGATTTATGTCCCAATAAATAAACATCATTGCTAGTCAATTTTCTGCATTATAATAAATTTAAAAAATATAGTTATAAGTTATATTTTTATACGTTAGATATTAAATATTTTCAAAATAATTAAAATATTATTTTATTCATTTTGATCTGAAATATATATTTCAGAAATCATATGTTTTCAACCTTGTCAAAATTGAAAAAGATCTTTCATATTTTATTGACACTGGTAATTTGTAAAATAATTAACTTAAAATAACTTTAAAGATCTTCTAATCCACTTTTGATGTTAACATCTTCATTGGTTATTTTAACTTTCCATATTTTTAATTCAACAAAAAAATTATCATTTTCAACTGGTTGTAAATTAAATTCAACCAAATTCTTAAATGATAAATGTGGAACTAAATGAACATTCAAACATACAAAAATTATAAATATGTGCTTTGCCTTATAATATTTTTAGATTATTATAAGGCAAAGCACATATTTATAATTTTTAACAGTTAAAAATGTTTAAATATTTTTTGATGATTTATCAATAAAATAAAAAATATTAAAAATAATAATATTTAAGGTAAGAAAACTTTTGAAATGTAATGATTTTATGTAAATACGTTGATAAATTATTTTAATATTGGTACTTATAAAAAGACTTGTAAATATTTGATGATATTTACCTAATAATGAATTATACATCATAATGAATAAAAATAAAACACTTTTAGTGTTTACCGCTCAGTCATGCTGTACATCAGATAACAATTGTCACAATCATAACATGCCTAAAAAAAAAAAGTTATTTATAGACATCATTTTGGAAGTTCTCGTAAATATGGGAACTAGAAAACCCATAAATATTATTGTACAGTAAATAATGCTTAATTTTGTTGCAATTTCTATTACAGTATTACGTTCTTATCAGTTGTTACATAGAACTATTCGTATTGTATACTTTAATAGTTTAATGACACGTCTAAACTCTGTAAGTACTTGCATGATTATTTTTGAATATTAGTAATCCCGATAATAATAATAATAATAATAGGTCTATGTTTTTGTTTAGTTCTTATTACCTATGAATGGCAAATATAAATAAAAATAATGCAATTATAACAATACCAAAATTAATCGTAAAAAACCTTTACAAAAAATTATCGGTTCCGATGAGGTTCCAATTTTTAAATAAATGTTCCAATGAGGTTCCGGTTTTAACATTTATTTATATTAGGGTTTTGGTGAGGTTTCGGTTCCCAATATTCAAAGGGTTCTGGTTCCAAAACCGGTTCTTCTAGGTACGGTTCCAGTCCCTGACACAAATACTTATTTAGTGTTTTTTATCGTAAAGTAGTGTTTGGATTATTTTACCGGACATTGTCATTATTATTCATTTCAGCCGAGCCCTGCGGTGGCATCATTTTTAATGATTAATAAAAGTTTAAATGATTAACAACCCGGGTGTAATGTCGCATCATAATAACAGTCAAACTCAGTAATGTTAGAAGACTTAAAAACTGTCCGAGTCCTAGTTAAGCCAAACACTATTTTAAATAGGGGAAAACACATGAGTAAAATTTGAATTAGTGATGGAAATTTAATTCAAATTCTCCGAAAATCCTACAAATCCAGATCTCAAGCTAAGGAACTCAAATTTTGGATTTAACAATTTGGAATTCTGTATTCTAATTAAAAAATCAATTTATTATAAATAGTTATCAAAGCTTTATCATAAGTTACTCATAAAAGAATACTAGTTCAATTTTTCAAAATTCGAAATCCGATTTTAAAGTAAAATCCGGATTTCGGATTAAAAAATTTAAAAAATTCGGATTTTTTCCATTTTTAATTCGAATGCAGTCATTTCATAGAGTTGATTTTTCGTAAAATTATGGTGTTTCAAATATTTTAATTTTAATTTACCTCATGACTTATTTTTTGACATTTTTTAAAATAACCTAACGCAAAGTTATTGTTTTTAAATTTTGTTCTATTAAACCACGATTATTTAGTTTAAAGATGAATTTTTTTTAGTCCTTATTCCAGGTTTTACCATTGGCTTGGAAACGTTGAGTTATGTACATTTGTTTGAGAAGGTATTGAACATCATGTCAAGAAAAAAAAAATAATAAAATTAATATATGTTAACTGTTATTTATGTTTTTAAAACGCAAAAGCATTACGTGTTTTCCAATAGAAATGCTAAGGCCACTGATTTTAGTTTGTTTTAGAAATGTGGCAATATTTTACTAAAATTTGAAAACGCAATGAGATTTAATTTTTACTATACAAACGCATTTTTAATATAAGACGTACTTAATAATATTTTGTTCGACAATACATAGTCGTTTTAATACGAATATATAAATCGATCTTAAACGTAGAGCTAAAATCGTAGAAAATTCCGCCGTCTTCAGTTTGGATTCAGTTCTGTCAGCGGCAGGCAATTGTCGATCCGTTCAGCGTCGTCGATAGTGTCGGGCAACTTGACGTTTTTGCTCTCCGGTAACGTCAATGTGATGACGGCAGCCGTGAACGCGGTGGTGCCCATCAACAGCATGACCGTGTACTCACCAAAGTACTCGGACTGAAAAAGTACGTGAACACCATCAAATCCTGGACGAGAACACTGCGATGACCGGAGCCTGTAGCCATCTAGGGGGGGGGGGGAGTGCAGGGAATTGTTTTTGCCTCCAACCGAAAACTATAAGCAATAATCTGGCGGCAATTTCGTTTCACTTTTGTACGTCCTCCGTGTGAATTCATTGCTCGGTATTGTAAAAAAAAAAAAAAAAACAGGGATAAATGGAATTTATTGGTTTAGGAAAAACAAACCATAAGTGAACAACTTATTCGAAATGAAAAATGAAAATAAATTAAGAAAAGTGAGGGCGTGGACTTTTAGTAGGGATAGATACGTTATAGTTTTTGAAAAAATACTCGGGTACTTTGTTCCCATGCACCAGTTTTTCTCTACCCTTAAAATTCGAGTGCTTTCCATTATACGCTGTGCTCGCGATATGCATACTTGTATACATTTTGTACCCAAAACTTACGGGTTGACTAATATATGTTGCGCCCTAAGGGTCTGAAATATATCACACCGAAATCGGCGCTGATATCGACCATCTGAGGGTAGTATTGTAATTCATACTATCGTCACATAGTTACGAACATGAAAAAATTAATTAACATAGATATTATGCACAGGATATCCAACGAGTATATCTACCCATTGCGATATCTTTTGAGATAATGAAGACGTTCAAATTCCGTTTTTTTTCTTATATGACTCGCAGGGATGAGGATCAAATAAATGTATTCATATTTTAATTAAACTCTTTGTTTTTGTAAAAAATTTAAAGAAATAACTATTAATTTTATTATTCACGAAAAGTTTGAAAATTACTATTTACAGAGTTTATTGTTCTGTACATTTTGACCTTTCAAATTTTTAGTGTTATTAAACTCATAATCTCTCTTTCAAATTTTTAAAAATTAAATTATAAATGTTTATAGTCCTTTTCCTTATGAGTCACACAAAAAGAAACACAATTTGGTCTCAAGAGATCTCGTAATGGGTGTACCTTCGTGGGACGTACCGTGTCTCAGTATTTAAATAGGTATACCTAACTATATATGGTTACTATAGAATAGAATACCTTTTAACGTACGCGAAAATTCAAATCGACACGATAAAAAATTAATTACTATAGTGTACGAGTACTGTATTTAATTTGGAGTATTTTGTAATTGCACATCATATTGTTTTTTACAAAAAAAAAAAAAAAAAAAATCAATGTCCCATCTCTATATATTATCTTTGGTCAGTATAAATAATATTGCATACGTACCAGTAGAGTGATTTGCGGAGCCAACATGGATCCGAGCCGACCGATCATGGAGCACAGGGAAAGCATTGTAACCCTCATCGTGGTTGGGAATATCTCCACGGTTTGAATGTAGACGATTGAAAACGCGATGGATATGGAGAGTTTACTGATCATGAACAGGAACATCTTCACAGTGAGCCCTAGATCTATTTGGGATAGGGTTCGTGGGGTTGCGGAAAAATGAAAGAAAAAAAAATACGATTATACCACATTATAACTCGTAAATGGATGTTAGTCAAATAATGACTCGTCGAAGAACTCGAGCGTGCAAGGCATGGGCGTATTTAAGGGGGAGGCGAAAAGACGATCGCCCCCCTGAATCCGTATTTAAGGAATTTATTACATGTGAGATAGACATTTCAATTTTTTTTAATGTGCACCATTTTATAATGAAATCAAATTACGCGTGCCTGTGAAAACTGAGTTGGGCTTTTATCGGGTCCATACTTAGTGAAAAATCAAATAAAACACAAGTGTAACTTTCAAACACAGACAGGTGTTAAAAAAGTACTACACAAAAGTCAATTCTAAGTGGATTCATTAGATTAAAAAAAAAAACCACAAATATTAAGGATTCACCTGATTTAAATATTACCAAAAATTTTACTTGTAAATTTTGAGCCTGAATTAAAGAAAACATTTGAGTTACCTCCCTCTCCCCTAGAAGTAAGTCTAAATACGCCCCTTGTGCAAGACTGTCCCTATCAATGCATTAATTGCCATATGATAATTTCATATAAATTGTTATATTTAATAATTTTTGAAAAATGTTTGTAATTTTTTAAAAATCCCTTAATCTTAGGTTATAGGTAATAGGTTATAGCTATATGTAGTTAATACAAAAATAAAACAATGGTATATTATCATATAATCTATGAATATTGTTATAAACCAATATTTAGTAAAAATATATGACGTAAATAAGCTACGAATAACATTTATTAATTTCTTTGCTGTTAAATTTGGAAGAGTATTAAATGAATTATTTTATTTAATCTTTTCGTTCACTTCCGTAATTTTTTTTTAGTTTAATCAAAATGTTCACAAGAATATAAGTATTAATGAATTTCATGTCATTATCATCGTTACCTTTTTGACTAATTACGCTAGATTTTTATAATTCCAACATTATCGATAACATTGTAATTGAAATTATCGTTTGGGACGCAAATAACCATCAATAAATATGAAAGGTACGTTGCTATGTTCGAGCATGAGCGTAATATTGATTATAATTTCTTATCAAAAATCTCACGGGATGCAAGTAACATGCGGTCGGTAGATTATGCAAGTACTTCCGAATCACCGTCATCAAAATCTATATATTATTATGCATTTTAGGCGTTGGTCGGTGTATAGGTTTGTCATCAGAAATTTTACAGTTTTATGTTTAAACGCGTCCACGAATGTATTCAATATAATATATATACGCTGTAAAAACTACAAGTGATAATACAGTTCAAACAAAACAAAATCAACAACAAACGTTTGTAATATCACAACACATTTAGAACATAAAATTGTATCTGATCGGTCATAGGACACGGGTACAACGAAACATTATTATAATTCCGAACACTATATGATTGAATATTGACATTTTAATCATTGTCAATATTTGATTATACGGTATATATATATATATATATTTACCCTTTATTATATATTTTACCACATTCCTACGTTTATAGTTGTACTTCAACAATTTTAAGGTGTTCGTTTTATTTTTTTTTCATGTCAAAACTGTAAACGCAATTACATTTTTTATTAATTGACAATATTGTTATGTGCTTTATAATATTTTTATTTGTTCGTTTTATCAGTAGGTACAGACATTACATATGTTCGTATGTGATATAAATGATTTAAAATATCTATGAAATTTGATGTAAAGTATCGATTGATAACAGTTAAAAAAAAAAAAAAAAAAATACAAGCAATTTTTATTTAACTCATAGCTGTAGAATATGACCATCCTAAAATATTAACTACCTGCGCATAGTGCAACAAACCGATTGCGTTAGGCACATTTGAAAAATAGACTGTACAAAATTGCGATCTAGAATCGTACGCGATTGATGCGTTAATGGCTGACCAGCGCTCAAGCTAAATTATATGTTATATGAATGTAATAGGCAGACTTGGGTAAAATATTTTTTAAAAGTATTTAGAATAAATACTCGAATACTTACAAAAAATAGTACTCCAAATATGTATTCAAATACATTATACAAATTGTACTCCAAATACATTATTTAGAATACTTCAAACGTATTCCGAATACTTTTAAAATACTTCTAGTTTTCATACTATAAAAATAATAGATGTCCGCTCAACAGAAATGTTTCAAATTGTAGACTAAATATATGTTATTTTATTGTATTTTTATATTACATAACTGTAATAGTTTATGGTTTACAACAATAATAAAAACCTGATATTAGCTTATACAAGATACGACGGAGAAGTAATAAAAACATTTAAAAAAGAGATGATTTAACGGTATTCAAAATACAGTATTCAGAATACTCGTTATAAGTATTCAAAATACTTTATTGAATACTTAAAAAAAAAAGTATTTAAAAAGTATTCGAAATACTTAAAAAGTATTCTGAATACAGTATTCCGAATATTGTATTCGGAATACTACCCAAGTATGGTAGGTAACAGGGTATGTGTAAAGTACGTAAAATGTAACGGCTGTCAGTAGACCAAAGCACGATAATAATATGCGAGTGATATGAACGTAAAAAGCGTAAATATTTTAGTTGTCAATTGGCCATAATGAGTTGTAATACGGATGACAGAAATCATACATGATTAGGGCATTGCCGATTGGTCAGAAATTATAAACAAATGGGTAATAACTTGATTTCTAGGTAATTAAATTAATATGATATTTTATAGAAAGGGCCCAGATTCCAATGCAATATGGATATTTTTTTTGGGTTGATCGTAGGAAACGCTTTCCTAGTATATAATTTGTTTAGAGTAACAAATACTTTAAAAGTAAAAACTTTTGTTTTGCATTTTTTTTCTTAACATTTTTCGGTAATTTTTCAATGCATTTACGGTTTAATGATTTAAATTGAACTAATTTATATTATTTAGCGATAGAAATAATGTATTTATTAGTTTTATTAGTTTAATTCGCATCAAGTAAAATATTTAAAATTTCAGTTTTATTTATTTTCCGTGTTATTTATGTATCCATTACCTAATGAAATAATACATTTCATAAAAAAAATTTTACAGGTTAATTTGAGGGAATTTGATTAAATTTTAGAGAAGTTTTCGATGGTATTTACGAAATTTAATTCTAAATCCTATAGTTGTAAAATTAATTCATTAATGCATATACGATTGAATCGTATCATAATAAGACCATGCGTATAGAACGTTATAAAAATATAAATCAGATGGACGTGAGAACGTAAGCATATTATATTCGTTTGTACTCATTTTAATTTTGAAAAATTAAATTTTATTAATTCATTTCAAGGTGTGTGACGTCAACGAAAAAATGGCGAAACTACTTAAAAAAAATTATTTGTAACTCTCGTCGACGCAAATATTCACAAATCACAAACGAGAATTATTGAACGTACATTTCATTCTTATAGGCTCATAAGCCGTATTCACGTTCATTAATAAGTTATTGTAATTTAATGTACTTATATGTTATAGGTATTGACTTGTGACTATCCTGTCCGCGTCTTCTCGCAATTAAAACGAAATATATGAAAACCTATCATCGTTTGACCGTAACAGAGTAATAATATTTATACGATGTGTCAGTGTGCATTGTATTCAAAATGTATATAAAATAAGAGCAAGTTTCAATAATTACTTAATATTGTAAGTATGTATAGGTACTTACGGTCCGGCGTAAGGTTGTACACGATACAAGAGATGGCACTGACCATGAACATGCAGGATAAGGACATTTTCCTGGACATCCTTTCCATGATCACCCAACCCAACAGGGCGGCTGGGATTTCAACCATGACGACCAGCGAGAAGTTCAGATACTTGTTGCCGGCAATATCCGCAGAACTGATATTCAGTCCGTAGTACACCAGCGTTGATGCTATCCTGCACGCGCGAAGAGAACGTGGTTAGTATTATGCAAAATATCGTACGGTGATGTAACCGTATCATTAAATGTAACGGACACATTACAATTTTAATATGATAAATATAAGTATCTAGCATTAAACAAATCGTTTTATCGTTACTAAATTGATTTCGCACCTAAATATTATATTATTTAATGTCATTAGATGACAAAGTCATTAGTGAATATATTGATTGCGCACGATATAAAATTTAGGACAGAGAAGTTATAGGATGTAAAATTATCATTAAATATATAAGTAAGCGTATACGGAAATATTGAAAATATGCATTCGATTTCTTCAATGTGCACAAAAATTGTTTTAAACTTATTTTTTTTCTTCTTGCGTTAAAAATCGCTTCTTACGTCCATAAGGTTATTTATTTCTGGACATAATTTTTGATTCATACACACTATGTACTATATATATAGTTTATAAATTGTGCGCAGTTTATTTTTGTATACTATACACCAAGTCACATCATTGGAAAAAACATAAGTATAAGAAAATATTATATTATTAATTCATAATTGTTTATTAATAAATGTATGGGTAAAAAATGTGTGAATTATACAAAACAAAACATCCTAGATATTTATTTTTAATAAAAACCATTAAGTTACGGAAAAATGTGCGAGAAAAAAATGCAAATCCCTGCAGTATTAGGGTTTGTAATTTAAATTCGTACCCCGATTTGCAACAAATAAATTGAGAAATAGAAAAAAATCTGGAATCACTATAACTTCTCTGCCGTAATAACACAACAAATACTATCAGTAGTATGAAAAACTATCGTCAATATAGATCCTTAAATATGTCTCATACCACGTGAACGAACACCTAATCATCCTCCAGAATATTGTCGGTGAGCGTATTACTTCTTTCAGGATACTCGTATTAGTGGAAACAGGTTTCGCGTTCGCTTCGACCGCGTCGCTGTTTTTGGACTGCCAAGTGATTTTATTTTTCGAATTAATTTCTTAACGAACAATTCGTGTTGCTATCAATTCGGTGGTACACAAATATATTATAATACGATGTATCGATGATCTAGTACGCAAGTGTGTTAGGAGAAAACTTTTGACGAAAATCAGCAATAATTATAACTTAAGCGCACTGTGTACAATTCACGTTTTTCTTCGAATTATATATAGTTTATTAAAAAATCAACGATGTTATGGACAAATATTGAATGAATTGTTTGGTTCAGTATTTTATCTAATACACGATGCTGTTTGAAATAAGTACTGTGGCTAATTAAAGTGTGAATTTTCTAACGTCAACACAGAACAATTCTTCGTTAAAACATGTCATCCACCATATATATGAATACTAGAAACTAATGATGGGTTGACATAAACCCGAATTCTTTGAAAATCAAAAACATTTGGATTTCGCATTTTAAAATCAGAATTTTATATTTTTATACTTAATCGAGTTTGAATCGTCGAACTTAAATTTTTTACTATAACGGTTTTGATTGTATTGAATTATATAAAATATAATTTTAATTGTAACTAGTTGTTAATTAGTACAACTTATTTCTTATTTTATTTTAATTTAAGTATATAAAATGTATTAAAAGAAAAAAAATGGTGTATTTTATTACGAGTATATTATAAATTATGATTAAAAGAATCCTAATTCAATGAAATCTAAATCCAGGATTTGAGAAAAATTCGAGTTTTTGAAGCGAAAATCTAGACTGTCGAATATCGGCGAATCCGAATTTTTTCCATCCCTACTGAATACTAGACCGTCGATCGTGTGTACGTTCATAGAGAACCGCATTTTGAACGGATTAACAAAATATTACGATTAATCGCGACCTCGTGTGCGTTACGGTTTGACGACGATTGATAACAACACTTAAGTGAATAAGTAAGTTAAACGATATTACAATAAATATTTAAACTAAAAAGTATCACCTTGAGCGGCGGTGCTCGGGGAAGATCAGCTAACGGCTTTTTGTTCATCGTGGCTATTTTTTCCAGCACGCCGATCACTTCGTCGTGTCGGCCTCGCATTTCCAACCATCTCATCGACTCGTCGGTCAGCCTGCACATGGGGACCAGAACAAAAAACACTGTTAGAACACCGTCCTAGTGCACGGCGTGTTCGGGGTGCACAAATTACGAACGTTTAAAATACGTAAAAAAAAATCGTCGGGTAGAATGCGATAGCTAACCAATAGTACGACAGGAACAGCAACGCGGGCACGTTGAACAATCGCAACAACAATCGCCAATCCTTCACTTGGCTCGCGATCAGGGGCACCGACATGCCACCGACGGGGCCGAAACATCCCAGAACCATGTAGAAGAGCACCCGTTTACCGGGCAAAACCGATTCCATGCCTGAAATCGTTTGAAAAATTGTGATTAGGGTGTTCAGTAATATCGTGTGACTGCGTTGGCCCGACAATGAAGTGAAATCTGTCCGACCGACCACCGGTCTTATTCTAACGGGCAGTACGACCCGAATTAGGTAGTAGGAAAAATTAAAAGTTGACTTTATGAATATGGACACCTTACAAAAATATAATTTTCCTTATAGAATGATTGAATTTCTACTGAGTATTTGAAATTTGTGTAATTCATAAACTCAACCTAGTACCGAATAAATAATAATTTTGTAAGCTAAAAATCTTTGCTACTTCGATGATTGATTAATCTGTGAAATTTAAATTTAAATAATGATATACGTATAATGAAAAAGATCCGTATTTTTTTAATATTTTACCACGCGATGGTCAAAATTCTAAAATATCAATATAAAAAATGATTGAGTTAATCGTCAATGATGAATTGCATATTACCTAGTATGAAAGTGGCAGCAAACACTCCGCTAAAAAAAATCGAACACACCAACTCTAGGATCAAAAACATCGGATAACAGGTGGAAAACGATTGAACAATGTACGTCAACGCCGCCATGACTGTACCGAAGACCATAGTGAACTTTCGACCGAACCTGTAATCATATTTTTACACGAATAATAGTACAATGTTATATGTTTTTTACCCTATTTGCGTTTATTTATTCGAAAGACGAAAAGACGCATCGAATAGACTTTTCAAGGTATCTCCATTAAGTCGCATCGGTATTATTCTTATTGTTGAGATGGTCGGACTAAATTTTCATTCGATTCTTTTACATTATACGAATGATATTGCAAGAACATCAAAAGAGAAAAATGTGAAATTTGAGCAAATAATTTAAATAATTAATTCGGCGTCTGTTCACCCGTCGTCGCGAATTCAATCTCTTCGGTGTATAGTCGAAAGAGATCTTCGTTGTGTTCATAAAAACACAACGGGAACAAGTCACACGTAAAATTACATAATAAATATATATTGACGAGCGGATGAGAACATCCATTCGTTCAACTCACTTGTCCGAGACGATTCCCCACACCGGTATGCCGATGAACTTACCAAAGTTGTGGACAGATCCCACCATGGTTAGCATCCATTTGTTTTCCTCACACATGAGGCCGAACTGCAAAATACGTAAAGACAGCGAACGTACGTTCATTTAGTTATACTGTTTATGAATTTCGACGGTATCACATTATTATACGTTAGCAGTAGTAGGGTTCGAATATTTTTACTTGCAGGTGGTAAACTGATATCTACGCGAAAACTGACATATTTTTAAATTTTTTCCGGTAATCAAAAATCACTTCAATATTTCTGTATGACCCTACTTACTGAATTTTCGCACTAGTGTTTCGTTTTCATATGATTTTTTGTTAAAATGGCTACGGAGAACGATAAGAAAATATAGGTATCAGAAAAATGTGCTACCTACTGGGCCCAGAATTTAAAGAACAAAAAGCACTAGACCAACTCCGGATGGAAGGGAAGGATAGGAAAATTTCGCATCCGAAGGAAAACGTTCGGGGTTAATCGTTTTCAAGAAAGGACATGTGTGTATTACCTGCAGGTACGGTGCATTTCGTACCGAGTAAAATAGATCGTAAACCCACGCATGGAGTAAAATAAATCGTAACGCACCTCGGTGCCGATGGTATTCTCTGGGCTTTCGAACACCCAACCGTCCAGACATGTTTCCGTCACGTTCCGGTCGAACGCGCTCGGCACACATAGCGGCTCGCGACTACCGTTCACCGAAGTGTCCTTGGGCCCGACCATGGCGTATCGCTGACATTTCTGTGGCCGTCCCGTGTCGTCCCTGTAGGGCGTCGTGAATCGCAACCATTCCGGCTCGTACGTTCGTGCCGCTGGCTCCAGCGCGTCGCAACCCGGTATCTCGCACCTGCGGCAACATGGTTACGGAGACATACATTTTTTATTTCGTTTTCTTGAGTGCCAATAAAATATCTAAAGCTTTTTGCTTTCCAAACAAATATTTAATTTTTTTTTTTTTTTTTTTTTGATTGGCAAAACATACTTTATTTCCAAATAAATACGAAAAAAAAAAACATGAACTGTTTCAGAACGACTTACGGTTTGCGTATGGAAAATAATATCATTCAAATGATCTCTATCATCTATTTATATAGGATGAGATGCGGGCGAGAATATTTTTGACAACTGCCTTACAGTTCTCTCAGGCTAGTTCCGACATTATGTATATTACCACCTCGAAACGTATAGAAATAAATAATAATCCGCTGATATTACGTTAAAAATAGCTGAAAACACAATAACACACTACGAGGGGTAAACAAAAAATTAAAATAAACCAAAGGTGGGCATTAACTAGTTAAAAAGTTAAAGTTAAGTTAAAAAATTAATTTTTTTTTAACTTTTTAACTTAACTAATTTAATTGGCAGTTGAAATAACTTAGCTTTTCACAGTTGATTTAAAAATGATCTATTAAGTTAAACAATTTTGAAACTTTACGTTTATACGTATATATTAATGTAAAAATTAAATAATTATGTAAAGTAAAATAGTCGTATACACTGTACATCAGATGTTATATTAGATTTTGTAGGTTGGGAGCCCATCTTTGAGTATTGAGTTTTGGCCGTGGATACAGAATGTTATGTATAAAGAATTTTTACTATAAAGAGAAATAAATACGGTAGTGAGTGGCCCTTTTATGTACAATGTCATACTATTTTTAAAACACTTCGGCGCCACTGCTGTATATTATGATAAAAATGCATTTAAATTATTTATTATAATCTAGGACATTAGATCATTCTAAAGAACGCAGTCACTTTTTTATGCGATCTATATACTAATTAAAAAAAGTGGATTAACTTTTTTAAACTGAGTTAATTTAATATTTTTTTTCTATTAAACTCTTAACTTATCGATCTTGTGTTCTCTTAACTTAATTTAAATCGAGTTAATTATTTTCATTAACTTGTCCATCTTTGAAATAAACCGAAGATAAAACCCTAACAATGGTCGCATTAACGTCAGGTAAGCAATTAACCCGACTAGAAATTATTGAAAACCATATGAATAATATTGTGTACATCTACCTCCGATCCAGAAGTAATTTTGAATATTTCTACCCAAACATTATTTTTATTTTTTTTAATTCAAAATTAAGTTTTTCTTCATTTTTAGATATAAATCAATCGATTAATGGTTAAATAAATACGTATGCAAAATGCATATTGTTTATTAACTGAAGGTTGCACGACTGGGATGAACGTATTTAAACCACAGGGATAGTTTTCAGCGAAACATACGCCACGGGGACGTAAACACCGAACCGACGAACCAATAATTATTTTTTCGCTGCGCATTATATTATTTTTCCGACCTGTATTTTATATCACTGGCGGTGAAGATGTACAAAACAGAAGTGATGGTGGCGTACGATATCATGATGCCGAACACTAAAGAGTTCATTAACTGGTATCGGCCGATGCCCACGTGATCGAGTACGTTGTCGATATCCATCTGAAATCAATGAAATCAACTTAAAACAAAACAGCTACGAACAGCTGCTGGCGTAAAAATCAAGTATATTATTCGGAAAACATATTGTACATTGAAAAGATCGCGGATCAACAGTTTATCGATCAATAATGGTTGTATATATTTTTTAATGGGATTGAAAGCGATCCGGTTTTCCGTCGTTTTAATCCGGAACACAAGACGCCGTAACGTACGCAAATAGGCAACTAAAACTGAATAATATAAGCTGCGCCCAATATTTTATTCACTCAAGGTACACTTCAGGTATAACTCAAGCCGTGTCCCGTTAGTAAAACGTACAAAAGTTAAAAATACTTATTATAGTTAGTATTTACTTATACTAATTTTTAATTTACTTTACAGTAGGTGTATATAATAGTGTTATTTTGTTCATTCAATACTTCACGGCATTTGAATAACTAGATCGTGTTTTTGCCATTTTTGCTGAAAGATTTTAATTTTAATTTTTTTTTTTTAACTTTTTCATTGCTGCCTATAACTATTGCGGTGGTATTGCGATAACTCACTACTATAACAGTTTAGTTCATCCGTATCAAGTTCACGCGGAGTTATCACGATTCTCGAAATTTTGATTATCGTCGTTGCTTCGGCATCGGCTATTAGGTTTAATTATTATTTAATAATTTATTATTAAATTATTAAATATTATTATTTAATAATATTATATATATTAATATTATACCTTATTTCGGTTTAAAAATAAAATTATAACCATATTACCTATATTAATTTTATCATTACGAAGTTATCAGCGAAAACACGTACTCGCATTATTTTACAAATTAATCGCCAGTGCCCAGTCATCAACATGTATATTCCAATAAATAATTATTATTCTGGCTTTAACCTGATTCCTTATTGTATCTATACAATATTGTATTGCGAAAAGTAACTGGGAGTTATAGTTAATTGTTTCTCACAATATGTAGTAACATAATATAATATAATATTAGCTTCTTCTCAGAATAGATCGGTCTAATATAGCAATAAGTTAATACATAATCTACACCAAATTATTTGTTTATAAATATATTTATAATTTAATGACAATTTCTAACGTTAGCAGAGGTTACATTTTTGACTTGTTCACTAGTAATCGTCAAAACAAGTGTTTTTAATTTTTATTTTTCCTTTTTATAGCTAGAGCTGTATATTTAATGAATTTGCGTGTTTTTTCTACTTTGTATAAGGAAATGGTTTCGGTTAAAATTTGCTTTGTCTTATTTATGAATTATATACGAAATCGTATTTTGAATATTATTGCATATTTAAGAAATTTGACATTTAAATGCATATTTCCATGAATTCATAGTTTTAATGCTGTTTTTAACGATATTTTTGAATATTGATATTAATATTAATATTTTTTGTCCGGACCCGTAACCGATATATGTGAAAATAGATCTTAAATAAAGTTAATTTCCACCATTATTTAACATAATATTCAATTGATACGAATTTAGCGGCGAAAAACACTCATTAATTATTTGTAAGCATTTAGTCCTCAACAACCACTACATTTTAAACAAATATCATATTACTTGTAAATCGAACCTGTGGTGGATTATAATCGCCATGTAATAATAAATTGGTTTCCAATGAAGATTTATTTAATAAACACTCGATTGGCTCAGTATGTATAAATGCACCTATAGTCAGTGCCGGTTTTACGGAGGAGGGTGTTTGAGGGTCTAAACCCCTCAGGACCCGAGTTTGGGCAGTGATGTATTATTCGATATTAATGGTATTATTATTATTGATATATTAGTTAAGAAATAAATTATTAATGGGTTAAACAATTTTGTTTCTTAATATATTATAAGATAATATCAAAGGATCTCCCTCTCAGAAAAAGTTCTAAAAACTACCAATAGTACATTTAAAATTAATTCCCAATTTTACTAATACAAACAGTTGTTTTATATCATTGATTTGTTTATCAATACATTTGGCATCGAAACGTTTCTATTCCACTTACATAGTGCATTTTTACTCGCCTTATCAATACGATCTACATGAGAAATATTAGAACGATCAAAGTCGAGTTCAGCATCAATAATATCAGCACTCTCAGCACAATAAGGTTTCAGTAAACGCGAAATAATCATAAATACAAAACGGAATATTATATCTTAAAACATCTAGTTTAGTACATAAATCTCTGACATTTTGGTAATAACCATAAAATATTTATTTCTTATTAACTAGGATTTCACTACGATTAAAAAATTTACTTATATTGTTGATTCTACAACCATTTGTTTTACAATTGAAACACGAACAGACAGAACGATGGTTTACCCGAGTAAGGCAGTTTAGTTTTTTTGGACATATTGTTGAAAAATATCTTTGATATATTTTATCACTATGTTGGAATCACTATCTTTACAATTCAGACGTCAAGCTTTCAACTTAATTTGAATTTGTAAATTTTTGAGTTAAATCGGCTTTTACCCAAACATTAAATGAGCGAAGCCTTGATTTATTTAAAAAAAAGTGTTTTAACGTTACGTCGGTTATCAAACTTAATTAGAAGCGGCCGTCCAACAGATCGAGTCTTACAACCGGTATAGAAGTGTTTGCGACTCGTCAAATAATTCTACGACGTAGAATTACGTAACAATTACATTCAGATGCGTAACTAGGGTGAGACGAGCGAGGTACTTGCCTTGGATGCCTGAAGCTGGGGGATGCAAAAATATTAAATAATTAACTTATTTTATGAAATGTTATTTCTTGTTTTGCTAGAAACCTAATTACAATATTTCAGATTTTCCCGAATCGTATTATACATATTAATAGTTGTGAGTTTGACAACCCTAAAACACAGGGGGCCCATTGCTTCAGTTCTGCCTCAGGATAAAAATGGCTCGCAGCTTACGCATTTGAATCATGTGTGATGTTTGTAAACATCACATACTGCACACACGTTCACCGTACGCATTGTATTTGGTGTATTTGATTTTCGTGTTGTACACGAACAAAATAAGTTGCATGAACACTGAACACAGTTGGATTTTTGTATTCGTTCAGAACGGTTATAGGTATTTTTTTAAAAAATGAGTGATACGAATGATGAACTAATGATTGCTTGTGCCATGAACTAGTTATGAATAGTTATGAAAACTTTTTTTTGTTAGCTACGTTTTAAAAATCGTTTATATTTCGATTAGACATTTTGATTAATAATGTTTTTCGAATAAAAATAAAAAATAATAAAATAATAATAATACTGTTCAATAGTGTCTAGCTGCTACATGATCACATTACAGACTGATCGGACATCGAAGTGTAGATATTATGTACCGATAATTGTAATCTAAACTTTACGGTCATATTTCAGAATTATCTTAAATTATATTTATTTAATAATATTGTCGCAATCCCGTCTAAGCCGTTTCCGTAAACAACCATTCCAAGTACAAAACGTAAATCTATAAAGGTATAGCTATAGCTTTGTGTGACGTGCATACGACTGAGGAAAACCAGACCACAAAATTACAGGTGTATATACTGTTTACTTATCAATATTTGAAAATTATAATTTCAACTATTATATTTGATCAAATATGTTTAGGCGGGCTGGCAAACGCATCCACACTGTGCTGCGTGTCGTGTTTGCATATTATGTGGTCGGTCGCGCCTTACGAAGTAAATTAGTTACTTGCCTGTGATGCCGGAGTTGTTTTTTTCAGTGGCATATCCGATTTGAGGGACATTATACGAGTACGGACGAAAGTGAACAAAGAAATCATGCGATAACGGACTGACACTGATAGAGTACAATCACACTGCATCACAGATAAAACTGTACTGTTTAATAATATGATTATTTGTAACCAACATACTTTGTTGAACTATTACGTGTATACATAATATGTATATAACTCGAGTTATAGTACTATTTTAATGTTGTTTTTTCTTTTTTTTTTCCGTTATCAAACAATCGAGCGTTACGTTTAATGTACGTTTAATCATTCCGTCCATAACTCTAAATAAGATTTTAAATAAACATTATTTTTGATTATGAAACATTGTTGCATACAAGATATTTTTATTTAGTTTTGCAACGAGTTTACAATAAAACGGTTGTTGGTGCTCGACGAATAATTAAATTGTGGCAATAAAATGCACCTAAATTAAGTACATATGAACAAAATATTATTAACACGTGAAAATAAAATATAAATAATGATAAAAGGAAACCAAAAATGTTTTACAATACTTATAAAAAAACACGAAATTAAATGAGCCGTCATGATTTAATAGACATAAATATGTGTATTTCGACCTCGCAAGATACGGTTTAGACATTGACATTGTTTACTAATCATTTTTCATACATGTTCGTACAAAAAAAAAAAAAAAAACACCCCAAAACAATGATTTACCGTTATAAATCAGAAACTGAAGTAAAATAGATCCTTAAACATTTTTAGACAATTAACAATTATTGTAATATCTTTTTTTAGTAAAAATCAAGAATATAATATTACAAATAGATATGGTTTTTGATAAATTATGACTCAAAAGCTTACGATAGTCTAAAATACATTATCGATACACTTGAAAAGGTCAAGATAAATATTCGTAATCTTATAGTTATATTAAAACAATAATGCTATATGTATAACACACACATACACACACACACACACACACACACACACACACACACATAGCATGCAAAAAATGTTTACATGCTTTTTATTTTGCTTGAGTTTTAGAAACATGATCTCCAGTATAAACTTGTCCATCAATTTCAATTGAAGCAATGAAAACCGCAAAGTTATTGTTACGTAAACGACCTTCTAATTTAATTGGCACATCTTTGTACAACTCATAAAATACCATTAATGGACTCTTAGGACATACTAAACTTCGCTTCCGGAAATTGAGCCGTTTTTTTTGTTCTTTCTTATTAATTTTACTTTTAGTTGGCTATTTCACTTCTGTTTTTCCAGATGTTGATTAATCCACACATTGACCATCCTTGTTTTTAATCATATTATTTTTATCTTTCACCGTTGATACTTCTGAAAACAGAGAAACTGGATTTTGGACTTGTGACTGAGAGAATTGGTGGTGACAAATTATTTAGGGCTATACCTACTTCGTTGACGCATTTGCCCAGTTGATTTGGCTGTTACATAAGGCTTTTTTGTTGCTTTTGTTGTCCACACAAACGGCCGAAAAGTTTTTATTTTTCCCATGTAATCACTCTCTCTTGAACTTCTAGAGTTATACACATTGACTGGTTTTTCTTGAATATCAGAATAACAGTACGAAATTCCTTTAAAGTTTCAACAAGCAATGCGCACATTTATTTATTAATCCAAAATATCAGGAAACTTCGGAACGAACAATCGTAATAAACTAATTATAAAATATTTAATACAAATAAAATAAACAATACGCTGTTAACGTTACGTGAGTTAAGGCAAATATACAATTCTATTTCATACTTTAAAATGTTCATAATATGTTTAATATTTATTTTATCTATTATCTGAAAAGAGCCTCTTGATGTAAGTGCAAAATATAATTTGAAATGAAGTTAGTTCTTTAGTAGTTGATTAATATAAATTGAAGTTAACCGTTAATACAAATGTTTGTTAATTAACATTATAATTTTTTACTTTTGTGCAGTGGCATAATTGTGGGGGGAAAGGGGCGCAAGTGCCCCCCTGACAATTTTTTGAGAGATAAAGGTATAATTTTGCCCCTCCCCCCCCCCCAGATAACCTAACAGTATAAACAGCACCTTTTATTAATGAACTCTTATGGGTATTATTTAACAATATTGGTACCTAGCACCTGCTACCTTCAATTTATGTTAATCTAAATCACAAAATGAGTTAAAAGACTTATGTAAAATCAAACAATTAGATAAACTGTATAAAATACATACAATAAAAATATGTTTTAAATGGTGTGGGAGAGGGGTGTCAGGGTTTTGATAATAATAAATATATTATATTGCCTCCTCCTAGATTTTTTCCCAGTTACACCACTGCTTATGTGTATATAAATTGAAAACATTTAAATTATAATCCATCAAAAGCTACCAGGGATTAATTCAATAATAATTAAATAAATATTTTAAAAATATTTTCATATGGTAAAAACTGCCTTGCTTATTCATTGTTTATTCATATTGTAGTACCCTCCAATGGGAGGCCTCTACAATCTGTTTAATCTGTCATTTTATTTTTATTTATTTTAGCTTATTCTATATCATCAATTATTCTTATTGTTCTCTTTGAAACTGATTGAACAAAACATAATATAAAAAAAAGAAAAAAAATTGCACGGAATAACTTTCCTCCTTTGGTATTTATAGTAGAGTTATCAAAATTGCACTATGCATCAGGAAGAACTTTATGTTTTTATTTTTTTGATAGCACAACTCAATTATGCTTAATTATTGGATGAAAAAAGTAAAAAACCTTATGTTCTCATGCCGATAACTTTGATTGTATTGAAGTTATCGAAATAATATGCGTAACGCATAAGCCATGTATTACTCGTATATTTCATACGAGTTAGTTACTGTTTGTAAGACACTATTTGTGGTAACTATCAGCTACGGTCGACCGTAATTAACCCATAAGCGTCAAATTATTACCGATTATTTTTACGGAACAGTTAACTGCGTTCCAGTGAAACTTTTGGACAAACTTTAAAAGCTATGCTTTATAACAGCTGTGAAAGAGAAGCAGGGCGTCCGCAGGATTTTTTCAAGGGGGTTATCATAATATACATGAATTGATGAATTTATTTTTTACCTACAAAAATTCCTCTTCCCACAATGTTATAATGACATAATCAATAATAATAAAATAAATTTTATGAAATAAAAATAAAAGAATACATATATATATATATATAGAATCGTAAAATAAATATAGTATACATAGTTATAAAATAATACAACGGTTTTGTTTGAAACAGTTTGGATACATTTGGAAAGCTATCTTTATTGTACTTATCAAGAACATCTAGAAGACTATAGAAGTATATTTTATTTTTGCAAATGTGTATTCCAGTTTTATTTATATTTTAAAAATATCTAAATCAATATATTCCGAATAAAATTTACTTAAACCTGTCGCCATATGAAAGAAAAAAACTTAAATCTTTGATCATAAGGTTATCATAAGTTTCGTTTAAAAAATAGAAAACAAAAGCTGGATATAATATTTTTTTTATAGCTTAAAAATCGGTCTTTTAACTGTTGAACTGAGTTGTTAAAAAATGGAAGGAATTTACTAATTAAAAAAAAATATTTAACGTCAGAATAATTTGATCCAAGATTTTTTCGTTCAACGTCTTATGTTAATGTTTGTTGAAAATGATGATGGTTTATCAGGAAAATTTCCTTTTTATTTTCGTCATCGTTTCATAATTTGAAAAATACTTTAAACCATTTAATGGAGTGGGAGGTGTTTATACCTTCCTGACAACTCCCCTACGTATGCCACTGGCGAGAAGTAGAGGAATCGTGTTTACTCGTGTCTCACTTCCATCCTGTTCCGAGTTATGAACATCATGCGTGATCGGAATACAAAAATAAAGCACGCGCAAAATGAATATAATCGATCGCCAAAGGTTCGGTATAAATATACTAGTTTGAACACGTAATTTCATGAGACCTCGTGGCGCAACGGTAGCGCGTCTGACTCCAGATCAGAAGGTTGCGTGTTCAAATCACGTCGAGGTCAATGGTTTTTTGCAATTTTTTAACGTACATGTAACCATTCGCAACGAAATATCGCGTTGCGTTCGCGTTAGATATCACATCCGATCGAACGAAACGCGCAGCGGTCGAGGCCAACACTTGTTCGGCGATTGTTCACTCTCCAAATAATAAATAATAAGCTTTGAAAAGTTTTGCTTTATTTTTTATTAAAATCTGAATAATCAACGTTTGAAAATTTGAAAATATCCAAATTAAATTTATAATAATTAGAGGTTGCAATTGGGAAATGTGGATCTGAAGTAGATATGAAGGTAAATTCAAATTAGTTTTCAAAATGTTTATCGCATGAGTAGGTCAATTGGTATGTTTTAGTTAAAATAACCGACCACCTGTAATGCCCTTAAACGGCTTAACTTTAAGTGGCGTATTCGTCCGATAACACTTAGAATCGATCGTATTTGATAAACTTTTTTTTTAAAAAAAAAAAAAAACTGTCACGCTCGATTTTGTGTTGTTTTTTCGAATTTTTAGCTAACATTCGGTTCGGTCGACGACGCCATTTATGATCACCAACACGGACCGTACGTGTAAGTTGCAGTCTAACTACAGCAGTAGCAACATACTGGTGACCTGTATCAGAGGACCTTTGTCTTGCGCCGTGCGCGACCGTAAACCGTAGACGCGCGCAACGCCCGAAACACGGCCGCGATCAAGGTCAAATTTTTTTTTTTTTAATACAAGCCGGACATAATGGAAAAGTGCACGATTATTTGTATGTATTTACATTTTTACGATTCTTTGGCAATTTTTTCAAGACGTTCAGATCATACGACAAACCTGAATGTTTAAAAATGTTCGAATGGTTTGAAAACAAAGCGATTACGATTTAAGTGGATGGACGAAAAAACGATAAATTAATGATAATATCGGCTGTCTGCTTAAAATCTGATAGGAAACTGAATGACAAAAACAACGTTCTAATTCGATAAAATTAATACAAATACAGTGGCTTCCATTGTACTAAAAAAATGACAATTCCACATCATATATATATATATATTTTCTAGTTAAAAGTACTGTAATTATGTGTACAGTTTTTGATGATCGAAAAATCTACATTTTCT